TTTTATGATATTTTATAGTATAATAAAAAATAAATTAAAAAATATTTTTCAATATTTGGTTATGTCATGAAAAATGAATCGAAAAATAATTTATTAATAATTTATGTTTTAAAGTTTATTAAAATAATAAAAAACAAATTTTGCAAATTAAAAAGTTAAATAAAAATATAATTTCATAAATAATCTCAAATAAAATAAATAATTATTAAAATAATAGAAATAAAATCTAAAAAATAAAAATAAAAGATGAAGAAATTAAAATAATAATAATTGAAATTTTATAAATTATTTCAAATAAAATAAACAAAAATCAAAAGAATAAGAATCAAATTTGATAAATAAAATTTTTTAATAAAAAATAAAAAATAAAAAACCAAATAACAATTATAAAAATAAATATCAAAGTTAATATAAAAATTAAATTTTAAGAGATAAAATTAAAAAATAAATATTCAAAATAAAATATATAAAATAATCAAATTTGATATAATCAGTAAATAATATAATATTATTAAATTTTTTATGATTTTCAGAAAGTGTTTTTTGTTTAATTTTTTTAAAAAAAATCTTTTATAGAAACCATGTTAAATTTTTTAATTAAAAAATATTTTTTATTAATTAATTTTTTAATAACAAATAAATATAAAAAATATAAAAATTATTTTTTAAAAAACAAACACAAATCAGCAACTTCAACAAGATCGGAAAAAGGAAGAGCAAAGCTTACAGAATAAGAGGAAGAAAATGAGTGGTTTTGACACGTGGGTTTCTTACGTGCAATTAGAGGAAACATTGTTTACCACGTCATGGTGTTCGCTTTGGCATCCTTTTACTTTTAGGGCGGCATATGCTTGCTGATTCTATCTGGTTAGATATCGGTTTGATTTTCCTCTTTTATTGCTCTCTTCTCCACCTCATCTTGTGTGCTGCCCCCCACATAAATGACAGTTGCACCTTCTTCCTTTTTCCTCAAATTTTGTCTATATTTTTTTAGTTTAAATTTTTTTATTTAAAAAAATAATTTCAAATTAGAAATTATTTTTTATTTTATCCTCTTAAATTTTTTTCAAAATTTTCTTATTCTTTTAATTATATACATATGGATACAAAAGTGAAACAAGAAAAAGGCGGGCAAGTCCCGAGCCTACAAAATATTTTATATTTTTATAGTTTTAGTGTTTAAATATAAAATAATATAATGTATTTTAATTTTAAATATATAAATTTTTTAATAATAAATTATATTTTGAATTTTGGCCCTTCTTATTATATAATTTCAGCTTTGCCCTGTGTGTGTATTATTTTAGATGATTTGTATTTTTTTATGATTCCTATTTTATTTTGTGTTAAGTTAGGTTTATTTTTTATTTTTTATTGCTTTTTTTATTTGATAGATTTTTTAAATTATTTTTTTAATTTTATCATTCAGCATTAAATTAGTTGGAAATTAAAATTTTTAGTTGAGCATGTATGTGAAATTTCATGGTTTATAATATTGGAAAATTAACTTGGATTTAAAAGTTTTACTTGTGTTTGCTTTGTTTTTCATGTTATTAAATTAAAATTATATTTTTTATATTATTAAATTAATAAACTTATTAAACATGGTCAACTCAATTACCTAAGTCTTAAATTTCATTTATTTCTTTAAAAATCGTAGCATTGCTCTAACTTTTTTCTTTTTGTGTTTGGAAAAAATTGGCTTGCCCTGCAGTATTATGCTAACTACTAATATAGATCTACTTGAGTTATTTTTTAATTTTTTTAATGTATTTTTCACCTTCAGCTATTTTTACTTGGTTTATTATAATTGGACTTCCTAGCTTATTTTCATGTAAGTTTTATGATTCCATAGCAATCTTATACCTCACGTCGTGCATTTCATAAGATAACATGGTGAATCTAAGTTGATAGAATGTGTATTTATTTTATATATATATTATTATTTAATATGTCACAGCTTAAATATTTTAAAATGTTTCAATCAATATTAATCAAAGTTTTAACTTTTTAACCATTTTTTTATTTTTCAAGGTTTAAAAATGACTGGACATGTGGGTTATTGCGAGTTAAAAAACTACTATATTCTAAATGAAGTACATAAAGTTATGTTCAAATAATAGAATTGAAAAAAATCAAACTTTCTAACTGAATTATAAGTTATTCAAATTTAGGGACTGAACTGTAGTAAATGCAAAAATGCACTGTAAATGAGCAGCAAAATGTGAGTTTATGGATAATGAAATTCAAAAGTGAAAAGCTAAGTTGTTTTGGTGTTTTTAATAATTTGTTAAAAAATTAAAACATGTCTCATCACTTGGCTTGGATTAGCAAAACATATCGTACCATATTCACAGAGGGTGTTAAGGTGAATGTGTTTGGTACGTGTTTTTTAAAGATTTTATTTTTTATTTTTTATTTAGATATTTTTTTATTTTTTTTATTGTTTAAATATGTTGATGTTGGAAATAATTTATAAAAAATAAAAACATGTTATTCTATGCATTTTAAGTAAAAAAAACATTAGGCACGGTATCACCATAAAAAGAAATGCCACTTTAAAAACAAGAGAAATTTAAAAAGATTTTGAAGAAAAATTCATTGAAAAAAAGAAATGGCGGTGCTACTAGACTAGAGGTGTAACGAGATAAGTTATATATTGCAAGGCCCGACTCATTTTTTCTTACAGAATATTGTTTGTGATAACTTAGGCCTAACCTGGCTCCCATACAATGACGAAACTGAAGTTTTTCATACGAGAAAGTAAATTACTAACAAATACTGTATAGTTTTTCAATATGACTTTTCATTGAACTCAATTGAGTTATATGACTTAAAACGTTAAACGACTCTTCGTCCTTAATGGATTTACACTTGAAATATTTGTCCAGTGACTTATTAATTTAATTAATAAACCTATTGGGTTTATTTTTTTTTTATCATCGTTGGTGTTTATGTAATAATTAAAACAGCTACTCAATAAATTTCTATTAAACAAAATTCAATTGAGTTACACAGTACTTTTAATTTTTTCATGTAAAATTTATAGCAAAATACACGTCAATTTATCAAAACTTATCTCAATTCATATCTATATGCACATATTAAGTATGCTGATTAACTTTTACTTAGTCATTTATAGACATTTAAATTGTTCATAGACACACACAAAAAAATTATATAAACTCACGAAGTCAAATATGTGAAACAAGTTATAATAATATATTCTAGTTTCAAATAAAAAAAAATATCAAGATAGAAAAGTATAGCTTATGAGATTTAAACTCGTACCCTCCCTTGACTCTAAGCATCTTATTAACAATTAATTATAAATAAATATGTGATATGAAACGACAATCAATATATGTATATTATAAATTAAAAAACTTCAATTAAATAATTAATTTATGATTATAGTGAATCAAGAGATCTCAGTTGAATAATTTCAATAATCTACTATCTCATTACAAAAGATGTCAAGCATAGTAATTTTGTATGAACATTAATTTATTCACCTACAATAAGAAAAGATGCATTTAGAACATTAATTTATTCATTTACAATAAGAAAAGATGCATTTAATTGATTAAATCAGTAAACTCAAACATTTATTATGAATATATTTGAACACATTCATATCAAATTTTTCAAATTATCATAAATTCTAATTTTTTAATAAAAAAATAAAAAAATTAAAATTAAATAAAAAACATAAAAGAAATTTATCTAAAGTGTGAAGCAAAAAAAAGTTTCTTGTTTATTTGGATTTGAAGAAAACTTTGCATAAAAAAGAGAGGTAAGCAACAGTGGCTTAAAAAGAAAAAAAAAAGAAAAAGAAAAAAGGGGGCTCTCTTTTAGTTAGTAAAAGAAAAGGAAAGAAAAGAGAAAATTTTAGATAAATAAATTGGAAATATATGTTATATATTATATTAAAATACAAGTCCATAATAATTTTCCACTTTCCTTTATGTTTATCAAACCCCCCACCAAACTATTATATTAATATCATAATATAAAAAATATTTAAAAAAAAACCAAAAAAATAATTATTTTTTTTGTTTTTAAATGGCGCCGTTACTGCTTCTATGCCTTATGATTTTATTTTTGATAGTCTACAAACTTCAAAATACATCCTATAATATTAGGTATTAACAGTTTTAATATGCCTTGATTTTAAATAATATTCTCTTAACATGGGATATTATATATATATATATATTATTTGTATTTATGATTTTTTAAAGTAAATCATGTTAAGAGAAAAAAAAAACTTTCCTTTTTTACCATAAATTTTATGAACGAAACTGAGATTAAGGCTAATCCTTATTAACAAGAAATAATTTAGGTGGAAGATGCCTTCCCATCTTCTTCTTTTTAATTCTCAAAAATTAAACTCATGGATGAAACCTGATAAAACAGAAGGGTTACATTACCGTAAAAAATATACTCCAAGCCACTAAAATCAGGAATTTTAAAGACCAGTGACTGAAGTTGACAGAAATTTAACGAGCCATGTCTTTATTTTTGTAAACAATACGGATTCCGGAACCCGAGGCAGGGCGCGATGGGCTCAGCCTAAGAGGAGCCATGGATAAGCGAAGCCGAGCCCCAAGCGCGCGAATGAAGGGTTTGAGTGTTCAACCTCCTAGTACCCTGTTCAACCAACCGTTCATAGTGCTAGGCTACACAAAACCGCACGGACACCACTCGTCTCATCTCTCTCTGTCGCTCTCTCGTATTCTTGTGGCGTCCCTCGCTCTCGTAAAAACCTAGCCAATCAAGGAGGAGGAGGATAACACTGGAAAAATAAAAATAAAAATAGAAGACCTCTCTCTCTCTCCCCTTCTCTATTTATCGCTTTGATTATCTCTCCGTTTCTCTCTTTTACTCTCTCGTCGCTCCCTTGCTTTGCTTGCGCGTTTAACACACCAAGCAGCCTTCACTCTCAATTTAAGTGGTGCTCGTTTCTATTCAAGGTATTTTTTCCGTTCAATTATTTAGGGTTTTTCCTATTTCCAATTCGAAAGACCTATCTTTTAATTTTTTTATCTCAGTTTTTACATGTCTGGCTTTTCGATTTCTGCACCACGGGTTGCATTGTTCGACGAGGGTGATTTATTTTAATTTCGGATTCTTTATCTATAAAATGTTGTGTTGAATTCAAAAATTGAATTTCTATATTCTATATACTATTTTTCCAATTATCAATGCATTATAGAACTTTGAACTTGTTTATTAATTGACTGTTTAACTAATATTCGAAGTAATTTTGTTTTTTGCCTGTGGATAATTACACAGGTACACTAAAAACATGTTGCTTTAATCTTCCACCGAGGATAGGATTGATTGTTGACATCTTGGGCTGTGGTGAATGGCGGCTGATCAACGAAGAAAACGGCTTAATGGTGCCAGCCTTGCTGGTTGTAGTTCCCGGGACCCGTACAGAATGAAAAAGAATAAATCGAAGAATGGCTTGAATGCAAAATCTCTTATTTCTCTTGAGTGGGATGGCAACAGAAAGAAGGTTATTGCCAAAAAGGAGCAAATTGGCATTAGTCAGAGAGATTTAATGCCATTTGTTGATTCTGTTCTCCACTATCATAATCCTTTGGCAGATGTTTTTGCTGTTCCTCCAGAGATTTTTGAGCTGCAGAATTTAGCAGAGGTCCTTTCCTACGAGGTGACCATAACTTGTGATCATTGTTTGTAATTATTCATGTGCATATTTTTTCCTTGCTTGCATATATATATATATATATATATATATTAATGCCTAATGCCTCTATGTGGAACCTTATGCAGACTTGGCAAAATCATTTATCGGAAGATGAGAGAAACTTTCTTAAGCAGTTTCTACCAACAGGACTAGGCACGGAAGAGGTTGTGGAAGCATTGCTTGCTGGGGACAACTTTCATTTTGGAAATCCGTTGCTTAGATGGTAAGTATTGGTATTTGATACCAGTTTTTTTATTTTTATTTTTTTATAGGGGGGTGGGGATCAACCACGACCTTCTTTGGAGCTCTTTGGAGATATGGCAATACAGATGCACTCATGAATTTTGATTTTTTCCTGTGTTCTCTGGTCAAGGTTTTATGTAGGGATCCTCTGTTTTCTCTTCCATTATCTAATAAGCTATTTCCATGTGGTATTGAAGGTTTTCTTTCCCTCCTTTCCCACAATGTCTTCTGATCTCATCTTGTTTGGGCTTGAGCATATATATATATATATATAAGAAACAAAATTCATACTTGTGCTTCTTGGCCGTAGAGAATTTTCTTTCCTGTTACTTGCTGATTTTTTAGAGAAATACTGTCATGTTCTGAATTTTTAACACTAAAGAAAGCTGCTTGACAGTGGCAACATGGAGTGGTTTAAATCTTTTGTATTGTGGCATCAAGTTTGTTGATTCTCGGTGCTTTATCTTTCTTCTATATTATATATGGGTTTCATATCTTATAACTGCCTTGCATGTTCTTGATTTCTGGCATGACACTGATATGTTTGGGTTTCCTAGTATCAGAAAATTTTAAATAAAAAACTAGGAACTCTATTGTGGTTTCTCCTGAAGCTGTACACTATGAACATAAGATCTTGTTTCAAAGTTTGATTAGACTATTTATGTGGAAAATGTTGTTGCAGGGGTGCTTCACTTTGCTCTGGTAATCTTCACCCTGATGTGGTTCTTTGTCAGGAACAGCATCTAAAGGCTGATAAAAAGGCATTCTACTCCAAGTTACAAGATTATCACATTGAGTAAGGCATACTTCTCTGATTTTGTTTCATTATTTAACTTAGCCGTTTAGGCGATGTGTGTTCCCTATGTTAACAATGTTTGCTTAATTTATTGGTTTTCTGCTTGTGGCAGCATGATAACATATTTGCAGAAGTTGAAGGACACGTGGGAAAGCAGCAAGGATCCTGAAAAGGAAATTTTGCAGAAGATATGGAGGTTTGTACCTGCTGCTTGCTGTACCTTGTATATAAAGTCTCTGTATTATGCGCAAGCAAAGCAAAACATTGTACTGGCAGAGCTATCTTCCTCAGCTGTTTTGCCTTTATCATGCTTAACCACTCATTCCTAGACTCTACAAAATGTCATGCTCAATAGTGTAGTAATGGGAAAGAAGATTTTGATCCCATCGTGTGCGTTACGGTAAAAAAAAAAAAAAAAACCTGAGAGCTGTACAGTTGTGGAATGTCATGTAAGCTGGTGGAAACTTGAACTAGTTTTCCTACTGGATTTGCGAAGCTGGTTAATTATCAGTGGGGGATTTCTGTTGTGTAAAATGGTAAATGTTTCAATTCACCTGATTATAACTAGTTGTTTGACTTTGCTGTATCTAATGACACCAAACTCCCTTATTTGTTTTCTTGTGAACTATTTGAACACCTTATCCATTCTTTAATAAATGGAAATTTGAGGAGGATTTAAATTATGCATAATTTTTCATTAATGCTTCCCTAATTACACTTGCATGCGCCATACTTTTTGATTACTTGACTGTGTTCCTTCTTTTCACTATTGAAATACATATTTTCATACGATTATTGCTTCATTACTTTGTTTGGAATGGTTCGGAGATAACTTTTAAGGTTTTAAATCATCAAATTATGCATTTGATTTTTGAAGAGTTTATATTGCAGTTTCTTCTTATCATAGTCTTTTGTCAAGTTAATGAGGCTCTTGGACTTCTTCGTATGATATTCATGTTCACATTTGGACATTATTTTTTTTAAGGAGGTCAAGAAGTGATGCAGATAAAAGAATTTCCCCTTGCGATATCGAGTCTGAATTTCATGGCACCGGGGAGAATGAGTCAGCGACATCTGGATCCTGCTCCTTGGTTGCAGAGGAGAAAACATCTAGCAGCGATACCCAGAACTCTCCTGTAACAAAGAGTGGAGAGGTTCAGAAAAGGTAATTAAGCTTTCCTCAACTGGTCTTCCTTGCCATGCATTTGATTGTTATTTCTTGAAGTTTTCCAAGGTTTAATTAAGTGAGGTTTTTTCATTTTCTAAACCAACACTTCTTCTATCCATGAAATACAATCTAAAAAGTTATTCATATTTCTATCATTACAGGTCCCTGCTTGTAAAGGTTCAATACCTCTATTGTTGTGCTCATCAATCTTTGAAAGATAAACATTGTGAAGATTCAAGTATAAAAAAAGGATAAAAATATCTCTGTTATTTTTAGATATCTTGCTTTACAGAGCTTCTGAAAATTTGAAAGGATAACCAAAATCTGAACTCTGTTTGAGGATCACTACTAGATTCCTATATCACTCTCCCCCAGAACAATATCAATTAGCTGATTTGGTTTGAGACACATCTCTTTTGATTTACTATCTTCTGATAACCTTGCTAAAGAAGCCCACTTATCCTCCTGAGGTGACGCCTCTACAGGCTCATGTTGGAACCCTGTTTTGATTATCATGATCGTTGCTAACATTAGCTTCATTATATTCTTTCATGGAGGGTGGAGACCTAAAAGCCTTCCATACTCTTATTCTCGTGCGTTTGTTCTCCCGATAAAATTCATAGTATCCACCCCCTTCAACAACACCATCCTTCAAGATAAGTAAATAATATATTGAGATGCCTGTAGCTCCTGTATTTGCTTTTGGAAAGTGCTGGTTGGTTTGATGCAGACATTCTGGGCTTAATATCTTTTTCTTAATGCTATTCTGATCTTTATGATTTATTTCTCCCTTTTTGGTGCAATGCTGTTGCTATCTTTAGCAGGTCGCAATTTGCAGTGGCCTTGCCTCTTTTCCAAAAAATAATTACATAATGGGCAGGAGATCTTTAGATCTTATGTTGCACCATTTGTGTTGCATTCCT